ATGCACAAAGCACTGCAGCTTGACTCGTGTATTCAGCTTTGAACACAGTTGTGTTATAAATGTGTTTATTGTAAAAAGTCCATTATAAAACGTTTCAGGTTAAAATACTTTAAAACATTTAGAAACTGCCCCTTTTAGGCTTTGATTAGTCATGGTGTTTTGGTGACTATTGCTTTAAATGCAAATGAGATTGTTCTCTTTACAAAAAGGGGCAGGGCTATAAAAACCTGCGCATCAGCATATTGGCAGATCCAAAACAAGACTAATGTTATCTGTGGGAAAATGTGCAGAAGTGTGTCAGAGGGCGGCGATACTACAGTGTGCTTCATCTACAACTCCACATCTATAATCCTCTTAGTCTATGCTGACATCTTCAGCATCTCAAACACTCTAATGGCTAATGGACAGACGGCTGCTTCTCACTCAAGGCTGCTGTTTATGCTAATGAGATGGAGAGATAGGCACTAGCCCATCTGATGACACATACAAAAGGTGAATGTTAATCAAACTGTTTCTGCAAACTGTTTTTATCAAGACTGATAATAACAAATACAATTCATTCATCTGCACCATCTTTGCATATTAGCTCCCCTGTCAATTTTAAATCCAAGACGATTTTTTCTTTTAAATTTTTTAGAAGTAAATCCAAAATCCAGGTCCTCAAAAGTCCATTTCTTCACAAGACTTTGCATTAGATGTGCGTTTTATCGGATAAGCCTCATTACGCGTGGCGCTTCTGTGCAGCATCACAGTTTTCAGTGTGAAGCTAATTAATGATCTGTCTCTATATAGTAAAAGAAGAGAGAATGGCTCAGACCGGCTCACTGAAGTGTGTAATGAGAAAAAAGACAGAGCGAATGAAGCGGAGACGGAGAGAGGGATGCGGGTCTGACGAAATCCTATTGTTTGGAGGATCTACCGTGACTACACAAAAACACACACCCACACACACACACACACACACACGCGGATAGAGAGAGCGAGAGAATGGACCCTTCCAGGTCTCTCAGCAGCAGAAATCATCATCGTTGTTAAACTTACACTGCAAAAAAATACTTTTCTTACTCGAGATTTGTCTTGATTCTAGTCCAAACATTTAAAATCTCTAAAATCATTAAGCATTTTCTATACAAGCACAAATATAGTCTCATTTTCAGAAGAAAATTTGTCAAAGTGAAGTGAGATTTTCTTAAAACAAGCGAAATAATCTGACAAGGAGGTAAGCAAAATAATAATAATTATCATTTTACCCCATTGGAGGGTTATTTTGCCAATATTTAAAAAAAAATCCATTTTCATATTTTGATAAAGGCTGAACACATTTAGGGTGCAATGGTTGTCCTTTGGTTCAATTTTGCATATAAAACCATATTTACACCACTAAAACCACTCTTACACACACACACACACACATTAATAATAATAATATGCTGCATTATCTCTTATAAATACAGTCTTGCTTAACACTGCTACACGTCTGCAGGGACTTGTATAACTATAAAATTCCCCCTACTACTGTAGTAAGAAGTGAGTGTTGTTCACTGAGTGAACACTGCTGAAATACTGCACACTGATGAAGGAAACATTCACAGAGTGTGTATGTGATGAAGGTCAGCTTGTTTCTTCATGCAAAATAGATTTGAGGATTGAAATTAAATTGATCTGCTTTATTTTATAGCTTTAGTGAAGGCAGGTCATTGTTGACCTAGAGAGTGTAATGGTGTATACAGAATTATATATATATATAATTTATTTATTTATTTTTAAGATGCTGTTAAATGTATCAGCACCATCTTGTGAAAAGCATCTAAAAAGGCAATGCAGTTTTTTCTACAAGAGCTGGACATGAAGATAACACTGAATCACATATGGACAGAGCGACAAAACACACCTGACTGATCCTGAATCAGCCTCTCTGGGGACAGATTGAGGATTATGTGAAGAAAGGACTCCTGGGAGACACACAATGACCTCCTAATGCCCTCTATGAATTTTATGAGGAGTAATACACTGCAAACAAATCCTTTACTTGCTCAGAGTTTTTGTCTTGTTTCTGAATATCTACAAATTCTTAAATCAAGAAGCATTTTCTAGATAAAATACGCTCTTGTTTTCAGAAATAATATGTTGAAAATTAAGTGAGTTTTTCATTAAACCAAGTCAAATACTCTGCCAATAGGGAAAGTGAAATGATCTCACCTCAAAATGAAAACAACATCATTTAACTCATTGTCAGATTATTTTGTTTGTTTTTAGGAAAAACTCACTTAATTTTCACTCATTATTTCTAACAAGACTATGTTTTGGTGCTGTCTAGAAAATGTTTCTTGATTTGAGAACTGTTAGATATTTGGACTATAAACAAGACAAAAACCTAGTAATAACGCATGTAAATGCATTTTAACTAAATGAGAAGTGATGTACCACAGATTTATTCACATTATGAATAAGAATCACACATTTGTTAATATAGTTGCTCAGGTAAAATGCAGATAATCCAGCCATGGTGAAAGAAGCAAACAGAATGGGAATAATGGCAAGATTATGGATTGTAGAGGTGAGAAAAATCAATGAGATGTTTTTCACGCTATGAGACAGGAGGCAGACTTGCACACCCAATATACACAAACACATTGAATACGATTAAAACAAACTATCTTTGAGAAAAGTGGCTAGAACATAATGTTTTAAATGGCTTTATAGTCTTCAAATAATGCTCAGAAAGCCAGAATATTATATCTGATTAATTTTTGAATAGGGTAGATCAATATGTTTTTTGTACTTAAACCTATATTTTATCAGGAAAACATCCTAATTTGTAATCTATTTATTATATGATAATATATTATTTTAGGTTTGCTCCTGCATAGGGAATTCAAGGTGGCCAACTGCATTACATTTATTACCACATCCATCTTTTGACAAAAATCATGTATTTAATTACATTTAATGTTAGGCTCATAATTTAATATTTTACTTTACAGGAATAATGCTGAATAACTCTGATTATGTTATATTATATTAGCATTTATTTATTATAATATATTATAACATTAATGCAAAATATTAAAACGTCCATGATAACATAAGTCGTGCCTGTTTACCTATAAAGAAATCTAAACTGCATTGTTTAATCTGCATTCATATTGTAATCAGTTTTTTTTCCTTCTAATGTGCTTGGTATCTGAGCTGAATTCTGTGTAAAAGCGCTGACGATCGCCCGTGTGCGCATGCGCCGTTCTTCAGACGATTGTGTTTCTGCGGCTGTAAATCCCGGAGCTCGAGCTCTGCGCGCGGCTGATAACGGCGCTCCGATTAACCCGTTCCACTCCCACCGGGAAACACAGGCCGAGAGGCCGAGCACAGCCTGCGGGACCAGGGAGACCTCCGGGGAAAACACCATTGCTGATTCAAAAGATTAGATACGGACAATACAGCAACGCTTCTGTTTATATCGCGTGCAAACAGCAGAATAACTCCGTGACACTAAACGAGGATCAGTGGAAAACACAGATTTGTTTATTTTTATGAAAATTAAATCTTGTCTGTGGAAAACTAATGAAATTAAATTAAATGATACATCAGATTCAATCTATTAGACAAACCAATTTTCTCAGCATTGCCCTAATTTACAGCTAACATCCTAAATTGTGACGCAATTTTAATAGTTAGAATATTTATCATGTCAGTATATTTTTACATATATGTTCAATGTGTTTTTTTTTGTAAGTGTGTAGCATTTGTTTTTCAATCTAAGTACTATTCAATATAGTGGATAAAATAAAGCGGGTCATTTCTAATTATTCGTTAACATTTGAGCTCCTAATGACACCAAATGTTCGCAACCATCCCGACGATTATCTAAAAATAGTGGATTAATTTAGGATTTCATTTAAGGTTTATTTCTTTAAAGACCGGGTGTCGCTTTTTGCTTTAGATAAACGATTAGTCAGTCTCTTCAGCTCTTTTGAGAATAATAATAATACGTGATCATATTGTGATTATATAAAAAACTGAATAGGCTATTGAATATTTCCAAATATTTTTTGCAAACGAATAAGAGAATATTGAGCTTGTATTATATTTTATAAAAGCATCCAGTTGTTTGCAGCAAGCCACAAATAAATGCTCAGAACAAAACTTAGAAAAGTCCACTTGGATATGATGATTATAAAACGACAAAAATGCTAATAAACGAAAAATCCATAAGAGATCAAAATTATAATTAGTTTAAATAGACTATTAACTTTTTAAAATTTTTTATAAAACAGTGTCCCAAAACATGATGCAGAAACTCATTAAGGCAAACAGCCCAGCGCACTGCCCCGTGACAAATAATCCAAGAGAAATATGCGTGCTATTTTTCTAAATAAAACCAACACATCGCTTAACATAACTTGGTACTTAGCCATCAAAAAATCTCTATATCTATCAAATCTGCGACATGTTTCTTGCATATTTCCTTGTCGAATAAAAGTAGGTTTTAAATCCGTTCAAGCTGCGAGTATTCCGACATCAACTCTACAAGCGTCGTCGAGGGTGGCACGTCTCCTCTTCTTGAAAAAAAGAGAGTAAAAACTGATCCTAAACATTCACGTGAAGCCATAAAAATGGAGAGTTCAAGCTGGGAAAAGAAAGGAAGAAAAAAAAAACTCAAGAACAGTTCAAGAACACTTTTTGTGTCCATGTGAGATCTACTCTGATGCTGGAGACGGTTTATATATACGTAAAGTTATGCAACACTATGAGACCCCGGATGCCATTGGGTGTTGTGACCAAGTATAGTGGGCATAATGAGATTGGAGAGGAAGGATGGGGTCCTGCAAGCACCTCCCCTAGAAATGCAGCAAATCTTTACCCCGTTTTTTTCCTCCCGTCGGTGCGGAGTAGCGCGCGCATTGGGAGCCGGAGACGCGAGACTAGCATTGGCAGGCTGACGGTGACACGTGCCTCCCTCTCAACACCCCCGAGCTCCCGTGTACCGCATTGGCATCAGCGACGGCCACTGAAACACAGGAGTCGAAGCTGTGCCACGGATACAGAGGACGGAAAGCCCGCGTAAAGCTGCGAGCATTCTCCTTTACGCACCGGACCATAAACTTGCTCTCGCCCGAAACGCGCGTCAAGAGTTCGGCCAGAATAGAGTGAGAGAGGAGCGGGCCAACAGGATGCGGGCGCCAGGCATCATCTACGTCTGAAAGTGACATGAACCACGGAATTAGCCAAAACAGCAGGCGTGATTTCAGTCAGAACCGGAGATAACGAATACGCGTCACCACGAGAGTCCGTTCTCTTCTCGCGCAGACAAAGAGCTCCGGTCACGCACTAAATCTGAAATATCTAGAGGAAAAAAACATTCGCTGAGGTATCTAGACACCTGTCTCGTTTAGCAGAACAATCATGGCTACGTTAATAAGAAGCAAGATCTCGAATAAGCTGTCCAACGCGGCCACTACCGTCACCAATAAGTCGCAGGCGAAGGTGAGCGGGATGTTCGCCAGACTGGGCTTCCAGGCCGCCACCGATGAGGAGGCTTTGGGTTTCGCCGCCTGCGATGATCTGGACTATGACCACAGGCAGGGGCTTCAAATGGACATCCTAAAAAACGATGAGATGGGGGGAGAGGGCGGCGGGGAAATGGGGGAAGATGGGATGGCCGAAGGGGACAGCCATTACCAGAGGGATGGAACGGGTCCACCGCCCTCAGCATCCAAAGACGGGGGACTTTGCTCCGAAATTGGCAACCCGGACAAGCCCAGAATCACTGCTTGGGAAGCGGGCTGGAACGTGACCAACGCGATCCAGGTAAAGGCGCATCGTCAGGCGTCACGCGTCATGGCGATGCATAGCTGTGAACAAATTCATGTCCTAAAGTTGTGTGGAAATGCGTAAAAGCGAGTTGCGGTATGAATGTGAACAGTCTGTTTTATTAAAGATGAGCTGTGCTTTTAAATGGCGTAGGTTTTTCTTGTGCTGATGTCGTGTTATAGTGAAGGACTTGAATGAGGAACATAGGTTAAGGCAGGTTTATCAACGAGTTGAGCTTCAAAAAATAGTGCTCATGAAATATCATTTATTCGACCTATTAAACCTACATTAGGTATCCGGAGACGGAGATTCGTGTTGTTTGCGTGAGAAATTCCATCTATTTTCGACGTGCGTAAACTGGAGAGAGTAATGCTTCTTTTACATTAAAACATAAACAATATTTAAACGCATTTAAAATTGTAATATTGTACACATCGACTTGGAAAATACGTTCTCGAGTATTGCAAAAATGTGTTCACAATACTAAAAAACACGTTTAATCATGCGCACTTAAACCTCTTAATAGCCAATCTGACATCCGTGACGTGACTCCCTGCCTATTTGATTCATCCAGATGACGACACAATGAGGTGAGCGTGACTTTGCTCACAGCAAATGGAATTTCGGCACTGAATTCCTGCAGTGAACACAAGGCGCATTCCCTCCACACAAGTTCATTATTACCACAGTTATATTTGCAATAAAGCAGCCTACACAAAACAAGCTTCATTTTACGCACCAAGTACCATATGCATTTGACTGGAGAATAGATAATATAGGTTACACCAAAGGACCCACCATTTTACGCATCAAATACTTGCGCGTTTAGAGAATAGAGAATAGACAAAGACAGTTACACCATAAAACGCACCATTTTACGCACCAAACACTATATGCATTTGATCAGAGAATAGATAATAAATCAGGTTAACCCGAAAAACGTAATATTTTACGCACCAATACCTTAAGCATTTGATCAGATAACAGATATTAAAGGTTACACCAAAAACGCACTATTTTACGCACCAAATAACTCATGCATTTGATCAGAGAATAGATAATAAAAAAGGCTACCCCAAAACGTACAATTTTACGCACTAAATACCTTGTGCATTTGATCAGAGAATAGATAAAAGCCACACCAAAAACCCAGCATTTTACGCAGCAAATGCATCTGATCAGAAAATAGATATTAAAGGTTACTACAAAAAAACGCACCATTTTACGCACCAAATAACTTATGCATTTGATCAGAGAACAAAGAAGGTTACACCAAAAACGCAGCATACACTACAGGCATTTGATCATAGATGTGTAGCGATGTTAGGTCACTGTGAGTGATGATGTGCACAAAAGCAGCGGTCTGTGGTGTAAAGCGCTTGCTGTGCTTCTCTCCCGCAGGGCATGTTCGTGCTCGGGTTACCCTACGCCATTCTCCACGGTGGATATCTCGGACTGTTCCTCATTATATTCGCCGCCGTCGTGTGCTGCTACACAGGCAAAATCCTCATCGCCTGCCTCTATGAAGAGAACGAAGACGGCCAGTTGGTGCGAGTGAGAGACTCGTACGTGGACATCGCCAACGCCTGCTGCGCGCCGCGCTTCCCCGCGCTCGGAGGACACGTCGTCAACGTGGCACAGATCATCGAGCTCGTCATGACCTGCATTTTGTACGTCGTGGTCAGCGGGAACCTGATGTACAACAGCTTCCCCACCCTCCCAGTGTCCCAGAGGTCCTGGGCCATCATCGCCACCGCCGCTCTCCTGCCTTGCGCCTTCCTCAAGAACCTCAAAGCCGTTTCCAAGTTCAGCTTGCTCTGCACCCTAGCGCACTTCGTCATCAACATCCTAGTGATCGCCTACTGCCTGTCCAGGGCGCGAGACTGGGCGTGGGACAAGGTCAAGTTCTACATCGACGTCAAGAAGTTCCCCATCTCCATCGGCATCATCGTGTTCAGCTACACCTCGCAGATCTTCCTGCCCTCGCTGGAGGGGAACATGCAGAAGCCCAGCGAGTTCCACTGCATGATGAACTGGACGCACATCGCGGCCTGCATCCTCAAGGGCCTGTTCGCCCTGGTGGCTTACCTGACGTGGGCTGATGAAACCAAGGAGGTGATCACGGACAACCTGCCGTCCAGCATCCGCGCCGTCGTCAACCTGTTCCTGGTGTCGAAGGCGCTGCTGTCGTACCCGCTGCCGTTCTTCGCCGCGGTGGAGGTCCTCGAAAAGACTTTCTTCCAGGACGGAGGGCGCGCGTTCTTCCCGGACTGCTACGGCGGAGACGGCCGACTCAAGTCCTGGGGTCTGTCGCTCCGCTGCGCGCTGGTGGTTTTCACGATGCTCATGGCCATTTACGTGCCGCACTTCGCGCTTCTCATGGGCCTGACGGGCAGCCTGACGGGCGCGGGGCTCTGCTTTCTGCTGCCCAGCCTTTTCCATCTCAAGCTGCTGTGGAGAAAGCTGCTGTGGCATCAGGTGTTCTTCGACGTCGCCATATTCGTGATCGGCGGTATATGCAGCATTTCCGGCTTCATCCATTCCGTCGAAGGCCTCATCGAAGCGTACAAATACAACCTGCCGGATTAGCTGGATAGTTTTGGTGGTTTAGGTGTTATACTACAACGCATCCCGCATATTGATAACCAAACCGATAAGTTTCCCCCGAAACATAAAACAATACACACTTTAAAAAAAATAAAGAAGAAAAAATAAAGAACATTCAACCCAGGTTCATCCAATAAAACTGTCTGCAGATCTGACCTTGACGTGTACAATTTAAGGGGATAGTTCAGCCTAAAATGCACATTTATTCAGTTTACTCTCCCTTAAGAGGTCCCGAACCAGTTTGAGTTTCTTACACAAAATTATATATTTTAAAGAGAGCCTGTAGTCATTTACTTCTCTAGTAGGAAAAACAATGGAAGCCAATGGTTGCAGGTGTCCAGCATTCTTCAAAATATCTTCTTCTATGTGTTCAGCTGAACACTTAAAGGTTTGGAACCAGTACATGATTAAATAATTTCCATTTTTGGATGAACTATCCCCTTCAATAAACCAATTTTGCAGTTCATCTGAGAGATGCCTTTGACAACAAATGCGCGTTACATATAGATATCAGAGCATTTATTTTTGTTGTGAAGCGAGTCAATGGTTTACACGAGAATTTATTTTAGATTTTAATCGAGGAAGACGTCATTTCATCTGTCATATACAAAAGGAAAATAATAATTAATTAACACGCGTGGAGTGCTGTGAGAGTGCACGTCTCCTGTCGGCAATACACGGATCAAAATGAACAAATAAATAAAAGCAAGAATATTAATGTGATTCAAACCGGGGACCGAAGTCATGGCAATAAACACACAAACAAATTTAGTGATTTTTCCGACAATTCGGCATGAGTGAGGACATATAGTATTATTTATTATAGTTTGCATAACCAAAATGGAGAGATGATGATGATGATGATAATAGCTAATAAGGCAGCCTATAATGGACGGTGAATAGAAGTACTTTAACTATGCATTTTGACCGTATGATGTCCATGCAGTATTAGAGATATTCTGGTGAAGCAGAAGAAAAGGAGGGTTTTATTCACTGCAATTGTTCAATTCACCAGAAAATATACAAAGAGACTCGTATTTTTACTAAAGACATCGAATATTGGAAATTGAAGAAAGATGAAGACAGAGGAAAACGAACAAATTCTGAAGAAATGATGCCTGAGCATGGAAAACATACACAAAATAAAACAACCCACCAACTCAAATAGCTAAATTTGAAGAGTTCTGAGCGTTATGTTGTCTATCGGATATGAAACGTCGTAATTAAAAGTAATAATTCATGTTCATGTTCCCCTCAGTGAGATTCATTTATTGCGTCGTTGGATCGAAATCAAGTCTGAATCAAATAAAGGGACTTGCATAAGACATTTTTTTTCATTTTGTGCAATCCAATGGGTGCTGTGGAAATGTTATAAAACCGTATGTGTTGTGTTATTGTGGTTTAAAAGATGGAATGTATATCACAAATCGTTATCATATATCGTGAAAATGAATATATTGAAGAATAAAGAAACGCGTGAAATTATATTGTACAATTGTTTTTTGGTTGTGTGAGTGACATATGGAAAGAAAATGAAACAACTGCATATTTTCCCTTCAAGAAAAGAATAAATCTACAAATCAATAAATAAGCGGAGTCCACCTCTCTTAGATTTATTCCGAAGGCGAATGTATAGACAGCACTTCTGCATGAAAAATAGGTTATATAATAAATGCAGAAATTAGGTTAGGTATTTTTAACGGATAAATGCTTTTTCGATGATATAATGCAAGGCAGAATTAAAAAGGCATTTTTATGATTGATATTTGCATGTCAGTGACTCAAATATTGATTTAAATACTAAATCTGACCGCTTTAATTGAATTTCCTTAAATGGGGAAAATAATAAACCTTGGGATATAAATAGGCCACCGTCGTGGATTTATTTAAACTGTATAATGCAATAATTATTTTAAACGTGCAATGTAACGTGCAAAAGTGGTAATGCAAAGAATACAGGAGGCATCCTGTCATTGGTATTTCAGAGGCGCAACAGCTAATGAATGAATGAAGTGAACTCGCACAGAAAATCTCGACAGATTTTTGCCTTTGGCTCTGATTCCGCAAGTGAACGAAACATCTGGACAGACTGAATCTATTTCTGAGGCTGTCATGAAATAAAATATGCTTAAAGAAATAGCAGAATGTGCGCATGCGTCTAAATGAAGCAACACTAGAGACTAGAGAGAGACATTATTATAAAAAGATCAGCGTTTAATATCAACATGAAGACATTAAACATTATATATTAGCCTAATTAAGATAATATCTTCGAGAAAAAAAAACTGACAAAATACTCAGGATTAGATTATATACCTGCGATGAATTATGTAAACTTTATTAAGCCGTTACCCTTGAAGGATATTGTCAAATGCGAAATATATAATGGTTATTCGCGTTTCTTTATCAACAACGAAATGGAGAAAATTGTGGTCGTGTTGGATTGTGGGAATTTGAGTTTAAAAAGAGGAGCCATTTTCTTATTACTAGAGCGCGCGCTTTCAGAGAGAATGTTGTGATTTTTGCGCCACCTGGTGGAAACATGAACATATTGAATTGGAAATCATTTTTAAATAAAACAAGAAATCAGGGTACAGGCTTTTAAACTACGATAAGAACATTTAACTTGAACAACCCACACAGAAAATGCCTGCTTAAACTTCACAAACTCTTGACATATGCCTACATGGCGAAGCCCTATAAAGTGCTTACTTTCAATGTTTCTGAAGTTGAAGTTTTTGTCTAACGTTATGTTTAATGTTGCTACCATGTTAAGGGTATAACTAAACATATTACTAAGACAAATTACAGGAGTGTTTTTGTTGGCTAGTTTGGAGTTTGGTCTTTCGCTCACCTCTGATGTCTGTTCCAAACACTTCTGAACACGAAAGCAGATGCTTCTGAAAGCCATTTTTGACGTGCTGCGCGATTGGGCTGTCATGTCAAACATTGTAAGTTACTTGTATCTTAAATATTAATGAAGTTATTCGGTGAAAACATCCTGAATTAAAGCGACCAAACCTTACGATTGCGTAACCAAACTTAATAACGTCAACCGTCACTTCTCGAGGCGCGAAGTTTGAATGAGCGGAGGCGCCAATTGGAGCCAATCAAGCAAACCCTCGCATGGAGCAATAATAAACTCATCTCATTCCTCATTTCTGCTCCAAATTAAACCAGTTTAGGTGTAAACCCGCTCAACAGGGGTACAACTGACAGAAAACTCACTTTTATTTGATAGCAACAATTAGCATGATTGGGTACATTCATTCATTTTCCATCTGCTTAATCCCTTTATTCATCAGGAACGAACCGCAAATTTATCCAGCATATGCTTAACACTGCGGATGCCCTTCCAGCTCAGAGTTTCTGCAGGTTTAACGAAGTTAAATTTAAGACTTTTTAAGATATTTTAAGACCATTATGAATTTAGAGTAAAATTTAGAGCCAACTGCTAAGGAACTTCTCCAATATGCCAGTTAGAAAAGATTTTCACTTGCCCTATGAAAAAATTATTAAAAAAATTAATATATTTATTATTACAAAAATATAGTTTTTTAATAAGTTCTTGAAAATAATTTTATTCATTTTCCAATATATCCATTCACAAACCCTATAACCCTTACCAATAATAGAAGAAAACACAGCTGTCAATAACTTCAATCTACAATAAAAAAATAATAATAGGCTAATTAACAGGAAAATTAAGATCTGTTAAAAATATTTAAGACCTACAACACAACATTTGAGTAGATATAAGACTTAAGGCCTAAAAGTTATCTTAACTTTGCCAGCTGCAACCCAGCACTGGGAAACACTCATACACAGTGCTCAACATAAGTACAGCCCATTTGGATGATGAATATTTTCCGCCATTTCTCAGTGAATATAGGCAATGTAATTTGGTGCAATTGAACGAAACTGATTTATTGAATATAATAAAATAATATTTTAGCCACCAAACATATTTAGAAACGGGAAGATCATACAATTAAATTCAAATTAAATGAAATTAAAATTGAACAAAATTTTCCTTTTCTTTTCTTTTTTTGCTTCTCTTTTTTGTTCCTCTTTTTAAATTTATATTTAATATTTTTCTATAACAAAATTGGCTTTACTAGTTTTTGGCCTATTATAGTTATTTTGGTTTATAAGCTCCAGATTTGACTTCAGTACTGACTAATCTAATATGCATGCACAAATGTATTGTAGAGCTTCCTATTAAACATATGAACTGAAGATAGATTTGTGAAGGGTGTACACATAAATGCTGAGAACCAGTTCTTAAATTCCCCCTTGATTGGACTGTGGGGGAAACTGGAGGTCCGGAACATGCAAGCTCCAGTGGGACTCAAACCAGTGACCTTCTTGCTGGGAGTGGACAGTGCTAACCACTGACCCACCGTGTCACTTGATTGGAAGATGTTTTTAAAAGTAAATTGGAAAACTCTTAAAATGAATTTATTTCCAAACAGACAAAATACATTAAGTTTCTTATTCAAATTCTTAAAAGCCATTACAATAAAAGAAATGACATTTGTTTCAAGTAATGGATACAACTTTACAAATTGTCTTAATTACATATTTACAAATACTTGCAAACTGAAGCACATAAACAGCACAACATGTAAAAACAACAGACAAATCATAAAGTTATGTGAAAGCGTGGCAGCACAGACCATCAACACTTATTGCCATATTAGTCCAATAAAGTCACATGCGTGGAGAAGGTTTCAGTGTAATCCCAGCAGGCCTCAGTTGTTGGCGGTGGCGGTGTAAGTGGTTGGTTTCTTGGTGGAGTTTTCCACAACCCACGGGTGCTCCATTACTCCCTGGATGGGGAGTCTGTGCATTGGGTTGTGCTTGAGTAGTCGATTGATCAGGTCTCTGCTGCCGTTGCTCACATGAGCTGGATAAGTAAACTCAACCTAAAAACAAACAAGAGATATGGTGACGATGTGCTTTGAGGATATAAAAATACCCGATTAAAATCAATGAATGAAAAGAAAAAAAAAAGAAAAAAAAAGTAAAAGTTCAAAGTCTAAAAAGAAAAAAATACATTTAAATAAAGATATTTCGACAGAAAATAGTCTAACAGGCAGCTTACATTAATTTCAGCCCAACAAAGAAAAAGAGGGTACGCTTTTTGCAAATTAGTTTAAAACACAACAGCAGTTTGAGGACTGAAAATAAATTTGAAATGGCATTGTTGTGGATGTGAAAACATGGATTGTTTTGAAAGCATTATGTTTATGTGAAGCTTTAAAATTAAAGGAAAAACAGTTCAAATTTTAGTTCTGTTGTGCAGATATATCCTTACGCACCGTCGGTCGAACACTCAGGGAAAACTTAATTTAAAAAAATAAATAAATAAAATTTAATTCCTCTTCAAAAACCTTTTAGAGCAGGGGCCTGTTTCAGTAAGGAGGTTTAAACAACTCAGAGTTTAAACTTGAACTCAGAGTTTTTTATCTCTCGGTAAATCAACTCAGAGTTTTCGGTTTCAGAACAGCTGATCTGACTTGGGTCAATCAAGTTTGAGTAGACCAACTCAGAGTTAAGCGTGCGCACCGTGACTATAAAAAGGCATTATCAATGGAGCGCAGACATTACCAGTGACTATGGCAACATCTTAAAGAAAGAGATCAGCATTTCTTTCTCCAGCTGAACTTGATCTGCTCATTCAAAGTTATAGCAAATATGAGTGTATATATTTAATAAGAAGCAGCCATCAGTGAAACAGAGACAGCGTGGGAAAACAGCTGCCCAAGTTAATGCGTAATTTTTAATTTTATGTATTTAAACATTTAAGTATAATAAAATAAGTAATGTAATGTGTGACGTTTATACTTTTTTCTAAACTTTTATACACTTTTATCAGTTTTAATAGATTTAACTGTGCACTTGTTGTGTGTCTGCCTTTTTATTGATCAAGTGATAGAGGTTGATATAACATTAAGAAGGTAAGCAGTAATAAAATTATTTTTAGACAGAATAATAATCCCATTAATCTCTAACAGTACATGTCGAAGGTTAAGCTAATTATTTATGAAAAAAGGACAAGCCTCGTGCGTGACAAAAATGTAGGCAATAGCTGTGTTTCCATCAAAATTACATAAAATTGTGCAACACTGGAATAAAATAAAGCAGCATTTTTATCCAAAGAGTCGAAGAGAACACAATCGTCACTTCCTGATTAACTTGCGCCAAATATCAACAGTAAAAACAGAATTACTGCGGTAGAAGAAGCTGCGTCAATGATTTTTTATTTAATTAATGTACCTGAGCCTCAGAAGACAATTGACACACAATGAACACGTGGGGGCGTTAAAGCCAGACGCGGAGATCTTGACACACTCCAGACGCTCGGAGGTAATTAATAATATACACTAATACTGAAACAGTTCAGGCATTTTAGAATGACTAAAACAACATTTAAGATGTTCTGCAGTGTGCTCAGTCTGCTGGTTTGTCCTTTCACACACATTTTTATCCTCATCTCTAACAAACCATTTTTTTAATGTACATACTGTAATTTGTTAAGTGCACTTCGTAGTTTATGTGCATCTTATCAAATAAAAGTTTAACCTACTCAGTTATGCACATGTTATATTATGCGTATTTTCAAAAGTTATGTTTCCATCAATCTTTTTTATGCACATCTCCAAAATGAGCTCTAAAATAGGTGTGTGGAAATGTAAGACTAAGGCGAGAAATACCGCTTCATCTTTAAAAAGGGGAGGAGACCGACAGAAACTCAGAGTTTATAGAATAAAACCTGCTCCGGACCAGGTTAGATTCACAGAGTAAGTTACCACAGTAACTGACTCTGAGTTAAAGTTAACTCTCTTTTAGAAACAGGCTTGACTTACCCCGATTTCTCGAGTTTAACAAACCTGCCATTTTGAAACGGAAAACCCAGAGTTTCTCTCATTTCAGGGTTAAACTACTCTGAGTTTTAACTTAACCTGCTTTCTGAAACAGGCCCCAGATGTGTCCAAACTCGGTTCTGGAGGGCCGTTGTCCTGGAGAGTTTAGCTCCAACCCTAATCAAAAGCTGCGTCCCAAATGATACACCATACACTCATGCACTCAACAGTATAGTATATGCGTGTAGTGTCGTCCCAAATGGAACACTGATTTGGTTTCTACAAAGTGGAAATTTAAACTGTTTACCAGACGAGGTTTGACGGTTGCCATATTGGTGAAATAAATGAGCAAACTACTAAATTATACCTGTCATGGGTATAACCACATTCACCATCAGGAGGCGCTATAATCTCTCTTGTAGGAGAATCTTATCTTCACAATCCAAAATACAAGTTATCCAACATGAGCGCTGTATAGCTCCGCCCCTTCCTCTACAAAAGCAAAGCTGCAGCCGTTGAGTGTGTGACGTGTCCAACAGTCCACACTTCTGTTTACTGGCTGAATAAGTGCATCATCCGGGTAATTAAAGTGCACTTATTATTAGAGTTTTCAGTGTGAACGCACTAATTACACTATTTATGCTACAAAATGGCGTAGAATACAAGATTTAAAAAAATAAAAAATAAAGTGTTTATCAACCTACATCTTAGATGAGCTGTGGGTGAGTTCATAAGTAGGACATTTTCTAATAACTCTACTTTCGATCAGTATAAAGTTACTGGGTCTCTGAATACATTACTTACTCTAGAAATCTTGCGGTACGTCTCTTCATGACTCTTTGTTTCAAAAGGTGGCCTGCCAACCAGAAACTCATAGCAGAGCACTCCAAGACTCCAGAGATCCACCTTCTCATCGTGTGTTTTACCTTCTATCATCTCTGGAGGAAGATAGTCCAGTGTGCCGCACAGCGTCGACCTCCTGTCAGACAGATAAATACAGTGCAATCAGTGACATTAATTCAGGGAGAACGCATGTTAGTGTTGTTTTAGTTTTAAAGAGCACATCATAATGGGTGGAGGATGAGCAAATTAACTATCAGTTTTCATTTTTGAGTGATCTTTAATCAGCTTATCTGTCAACTACATTTGTTTTTAACATACAAATGACAGGCTTAATAGATGATAGTTCATCCAAAAATTTTAATTCTCAGTTTACTCACCCTTCAATGATTCCAAACTTTAAGTTTCTTTCCTCTTGAACACTAAAATATATATATTTTAAAAAGCTAAAAAATGATAACCATTGACTTCCATATGGGAAAAACAAACACTATGCAAATCAATGGTTAAAGGTTTCTAAATATATATTCTTTTATGTCGAACAGACGAAAGAAACTCAAATTTTACATCAAGTGAAGGGTGGGAAAATTATGACAGAATTGTCATTATTAGGTGAATAGTGTTACTTTAAATTAACACCAATCTTCTACACTTTAGTGCACAGATTTAATCTTAACCTCATTTTAATGAAGACACTTGATGGATTGTAGCTTAAGTAAAAAAGGTTTTAAAATGTTAAATAAGGCAAAAGTTACGCGTGTAAGTTTACAAAAAAAAATAAAACAATGACTGCATCTTTCAGCTAGATTTAGTTTGTCTAAAGCAGGGGCGCCTGCAGGATTTTATTCCAAGGCACGCTCAAATCCAGCACCGCCCCGCCCACTTCCGATGGCTGTTATTTCAGTGTTCATACATTAAATAACGAATGCATCAAGTGAAATAAAAACCAATATAGTTTTAGAATTTAGCTAAATTCTTATCTTTTATCTTTGTATTTTTATCATTTTTAATATTTTATTGCCTTCATTATTAAAGCTATAGACAAATTCCTGCTTGACATTTAAGAAAATATTTTGCGTAGCTACCCAGTATGTATTAAAGATCACAGAGAAAAAAAAACATGTTACATAGCCCCATAAATGTCCATCATATATTAATGAATCATAAAAAATTGTGAAAATTGCTTTTCATTTTTATAAAGCATTTTATTATTTTTTATTTATTTATTTGAGTAAAAACAATACCGACATAACCCATATTTATTTTATTTGTTCATTAATTTGACTTGTTTCTTGGTGCATAGCCTATATAAGCTATAATTTAACTCGTACAACATTACTAAATCACAAAACAAGCCATCTGGCTTGACTGAAGTGCAGTTATTTCTTCGTTCAGAGTTTGCATGGTTCGTGTTTCATGGATATAGAATGTTTTGTGGACATCGATGATGTTAAGCGTGTCTTTATTCGATGCACAGCAGAAAAAAAGTCTTTCAGCAGCGCATGTAACGTCAGCTGTTGGTTAAGTTCTCTACCGGATCAGAGCGAGTTTTTGTGCAACCAAATGCAGCGCTGCAGCGATTTGCCAAAGAGCAGGCAGCTGTAGTGTATGCTGTTTAATAATCGATTTAAATCATGTCACAAATAAATAAATAAAAAGCGGCAATAATTCCAGCCCTCTCATGGTAGGTGCGCACAGCCGTACAGCTGCAGGCGCCACTGGTCTATACAGTTCCAGACCCATTGGAGACCGTTAGAGGGTGTCTTCAATCTCTGTGCATGTTCAGAGCAATCAAGATTTTTTTACACTTTTGATAATGTTTGTAAAATAGGCATCAAATTTCTAAGCAGTATGGTGATTTTTGATTAGAATTTAGCCTCTGATAAAATCCTAAAACTATTTAATGTGGATTGCTGTAGCAGAGTAATGCTTTACAACTCTGATGAATATCATTGCCGCAATTGAATAAATAACTGATGCTTAGCAATACCCATGAAAAATCAGCCACCAGATATAAAAACTAGGAATGAGGCTTTCAAAGTGTGCAGAGTTCGTCATGATAGCTTATAGACTATAATATTAGTGTTTAAAAACTAACCCGAAAATGGTCCCACAGGTTGAAAAGTGCATTAAGTGCACACTAAACAACACTAAAACATGCATTCAGAAGACTCAGACTTTCCAAAGATATAGAGTTTGGCATGATTAGATTAGGATTTAATTGCAAAGCAGTGAAGTAAACAGTTAAGGGTTAATGAAACTAATACTCAAGCATGCACAATGGCAAAACCGCACATGCACTCAGATTTGGGCAGAAATCTTTCATAAACTTATGGAAATAAAACAGACTCACCTGGAGGAGGGCGTGTGGACGGACCAGCCAAAATCTGCAATCTTCAGCTCTCCATTGGCTCCCAGCAGCAGGTTTTCAGGTTTAATATCTCTGTGGATCACAGCCTTCGAGTGGCAGTATCTCAGAGCATCCGCCAACTCCATTATATACTGCAGACACACAATATATACATTGCTATTATTACCACCGTTATTGAGATCTTTTTGGCAATAGGGATGTGCAACATGACCTTATATATTATATGGATGATGTCTATTTCATATTACTCTGTTTATTTTGTAAACGTTAGAATTCATTCATTCATTTTCTTTTTCTTTATTAATTAGGGGTCGCCACAGCAGAATGAATCGCCAACTTATACAGCATGTTTTACGCAGGGGATGCCCTTCCAGCTGCAACCCATCTCTGGGAAACATCCATACACTCATTCACTACAGACAATTTAGCCTACCCAATTAAAATGTTAGAATACTTATTCAATTTTTAATCCATTGGATGAGCTAAATCTTTTTATTTGGCAATATTTTGAGCACATGCAGCTATTAGTTTTGAAAAGTATTCAATGGCATATTTATTTTATATTTTATATCTTCCTTTGAAAATCTAAATGTTAAAAAATGCATATGAATGAGCACATTTGAGTACATCCCTTAACTAAATTACTTTAAAAACAAGTAATTTTCCTGTGGTCAATATACTGTGTATACACAATAACTAATTTATACCTTTATTAGGATATGAGATGACTTATTCATGATATTTGTTATATTGCTCATCGGCAATTTCTTTCAATAGTCCACCTGTAGTGTGAGCTCTATAGAAGTGTTTACAATGCTAAAATAGTCTTATTTTAAGAAATAAGGGGTAAGAAAAATAATCTTGTCAAAATAAAAGCTCACCCCATTGGCAGATTATTTCACTTGTTTTAAAGCTGCAGTAGGTGATTGTCTTCAGACGCATGTGTTGTTGTGCTGGTTGAAAGTCTCTTCACAGTCTAATAGTAATGATTACAGTAAATGATCTAAATGTGTTTATATGTATTTTTATATTTTGGGTAAGGTATAAAACTAAAAAATGTTCATCTACTTAAATAGTGGGGCCGACATCTCCCATAATTCTGATAAGTAACTCAATCTGTCTGTCAGCAAATGCAGATTTAAACTACAGCACAGCCGTTTGCACGCAGCTCTGCCGACCACACTTTGTGCTGCGCGTTCATGAGAGAGGGAGAGAGAGCATGTGCGAGCGATCGGTAAAAACCTGCTGAATCAAAACTTTAAAAACCTGAATCAATATTGGAGTGACTTTTGCACGCTGGAGAAAGGATGAAAATGGCTGAAGGATTTCTTAGACAGGTAATGTTCTGTTTTAAAACTGTTTTAGCTTCACGCAGAGCTGATGTACCGTTAGATGTTGTTGTTACAAATGGGTTACATCTTCACAGAAGTGTTGTTCAGCCACTAAAATCCTTCAATGAAAGATTGATAAGACTACTTTCAGTGTTATAAGGGACTTTTTACAGCATTGATAAAGTAGATTTTAATTAATTTAACAACAAATACAAGTAAATAGCGCTATTCCGCCTAGTCTCTCCCTATATTGTTTACCATGCATTTGTAAATATTCACTCTGAAATAGCATGTCAGTTTTAACACAAGCACTAGTCACTTTTAACACATGAGAGAGGGTTCTTTTGCTGTGCTCGTGTTTCAGGAGGCGTGGCTCTAGATGGCAGGGGAGGGACTGTGATTCAGAGATTTATGCTAAGCATTGTGGAAGATCATCTACTGCATCTTTAAGAAAAAAACTATTAACTCAATTCTCAAAATACTAAATATTTTGCTCGTCTAGAAAACACTTCTTGATTTAATAATTTAGAAATCAGGACAAGAAATTTTAAGAAATGCATCTTTGCAGTGTAAAAAGACCCTGCAGATACCCTGATCATCATCATCATCATCATTATCTCCTCACCGTGGCGCTTCTCTGGTCATCGAACGTCCCGCAGCGCTGCAGTTCTCCATACAGCTCTCCTTTAGGAGCAAACTCTAGGATGAGGTAAACACGGGCCGCGTCGTGGAAATAACCATACAAACGCAGGATATTGGGATGTCTGAAAGAGGAAGAGGAAACAGTCCATTCACTTCCTCACATACAAGTCTCACTTTCCTCATGCATGAAGACACTGAACGCTTTGACTAGGGCTGCACCATACTGGAAAACCAGATACTGCTAGATTAAGTTTTCCTGCACTATACAGATGAAGTCTGTATGAATTGATAGCCTTCCTGTTGACTTAATTCTTTTAAATTTTTTCCCCAATTTCTGTTTAAGGGAGATGATTTTTTTTCCAGCACATTTCTAAAAACACATTAATGACATCTCTAATAACTGATTTATTTTATCTTTGCCATGATGACAGCACATAATATTTGACTAGATATTCTTCAAGATACTAGTGTTCAGAAATAAATTAATATTAAAACAAAGTAAATAAGTCGGCGCCAATAGCCTAGTGGTTAGTGTGTGGACACATAGCACCGAGCTGCTCGCAGCAACCAGAGTTCGATTCCCGTCTCAAGGTCCTTTGCTGATCCTTCCCTTATCTCTGCTCCCCACACTTTCCTGTCTCTATATCTCCACTGTCCTATCAATGAAGGTGAAACTCCCCCAAAAAATATTTTAAAAAAAGACCAAAACATTTATTAAAAAAAAAAACAAAAAAACAAAGAAAATAATATAGCAGGGAGTTAAGCTCAATAATCTTGTTTTGGTTTAGAATAAGAATATTTACTTGCCCCACGGGCAGATTATTCAGCTTGTTTTAAAGAAAACATCACAATTTTAAATATTTCTAAAAAAAAAATTCACAAAATGTGTGTCAAAATAAGATTAGTCACCAAAAATCATTCAATTTGCTGAAACGCAGACAAAGTTGTGGCCAAATTAAGCCTTGAAATCACCCCAGAGTGGATGAAGACAGCCCAACAGCACACAAGGGTTAAAAAAAAAAAATCACCTAAAAATAATTAACTGAATGAGTTTCTCACAGAATTAAAGCAGACACACTCTAATCCAACACACTAGGCTGAAATGCTTTTACAAAATATCTTCTCCAGGTATTAAATCTTATGCCACTGGAGAATGAAAACATCTTGAAGGAAATCTATTCTGCCCCTTTCACAAGATATAAAATGTGTCTCCAATGTCTTGAGTGCATTTCAGCAGAGCTCCCTTTAGCTTGTGATTGAGTAATGAGAATGTTTTGGTGAACTAACCCTTTAAAACACCCCTCTGCAAACAGCAGAAGTCCTCCTACCTGAGATGTGACTGTATCTCCACCTCCCTGCGCAGCTGATGCTCCACTCCTGCTTTCTCCAGCTGCTTCTTGAACAGAACTTTGAGCGCCAGAATAAACTTGGTCTGCTGTTCTCTGGCCAGATACACGCTGCCAAACTTCCCCTTGCCCAGAGCGCGGCCAATGTCGAAATTCTCCAAAGTCCAGGCTTTTCTGAAGACGAGACAAAAAGCAAACGACTGTCACAACTATTCTTCGAGCTTTATCAGATGAAGAACCATATATCAGGGTTTCTGCAGGTCTCATGTCAAATTTGAGACCATTGTGATTGACACAGGGTGGTCTGGTTGGGTCAATGGAAAAGATTTTTACCAGTTAGAAAAAAAACAACAACAACAACAACAAGTACTTTTTCACCACATATTTGGAATAATGTGTCAAAATAAGTCAAATATAATTGTATACGCAGACTTTTTAAAGTTTTAAAAAAGTATATTCAACTAAATGTATTGATAACAGTTTGTCCAGGTCAGTGTATAAACACGTGAGGAACTTTTGATGCCATTTTAACTATGATATTTAGATTACATTGGTAAATAGAGTTAATCCATCAACATGGATTGTGTCAGCCCAATTATGGCCCCGTTTAAATTGATTTAAGAGCTACAGCACATTATTTCAGTGAATACAAGACTTTAAGGCCTGTATTTTTTTTGTTTTTATTAATTTAAGATTTTTTTTTTGTTGTTGTTACTGTGAAAACTCTAATCATTCAGTGGAGTGATATGAAGCTGTAATGTGCTCAAAACCTGCTGGAACTAGTTTAGCTGTGTGTCATAACTAAACACTTAGTGATCATCAGCCAATCACAATCAAGCATTTATAGCTTACTTTGAACTCTTCGATGATCCACTGGTGTTGGAGGAGGTAGAAGTAGTACTGGAAGGAGTTTCTGTAAAAGAAACGGAGAAATAATGACATTGTCTGCGCTGTGATGAAGGAGTATAAGGGCTGTTACATTTTCAGTGCCGCATGACAAAATTGTATATATTTCACACTGCAAAATATGCTGCTCTTACTTAGAGTTTGTCTTGTTTCTAGTCCTAATATCTAAAAATTCTTAAAATTAAGCAGCATTTTATAGACAAACCAAAAAAATTGTCTTATTTTAAGAAATATGAAATAAAAAAGAAATATTATATTATTTCTTAAAATAAGCAAATCTATCTGACAAACAAAAGTCAAACAAAATCATTTAGTTTTATCGTTGAAAATCATTTCCAAAAATAAAATGCATTTTATTAAATGACTAGAATTACCATATTTTAGCCATAATTTACAGAGGGAAAAAAATAGTTACTAGTTACATTAAAAAAACATGCCTTTCCAGTTTTTGCAACCCTTGGGGTGATTTTGTAATGTTAAAGACACAGCATATTTATTTTAAGACTTAAACTTTGACATCTTTACAGCACTCATGTACAGTAAACAAATACAGGCCACAACTGAACACAAAGCATGGTCTCAGAGTGGCGTTCTTCAAAATTGAATGGATGAATAGACTTTAGCCTATTGGTATATGTGCGCCGGTGTGCAAGTTTTATGTATTTATAACCACCTGAGAGGATATTGGGGGTCATGAGTCACTGGCATTGTAATTTTGGGGGTCGTGGGCTGAACCCCTGATATATGGCTATATTGAATATAATGCCATATATCAGCTTCTCTGACTAAAGATCAAATTTTATAGATATTTTTTTTATATATTACTTTTCTTTAATTCAAAAATGGTTTATAATAAAAAGACATGAACATCAATGAATACAAAATAATAATCTAAAACTGTTTATGAAATGCTTTACCTTTGATCATAGTTCTACCATTTAAAATGTTTCCTTATAAAGTTTGACAAACTCAAGGTGTGTCCCAAATCACATACTTGTGCACCTTTCCATGCCATTTTATAGTATAAATAGTAATGATGAGTAGTGCATTCAAACTGAATAATTATTTTTATTATTAAAAGAATCTGCATACTTTAAAAACGCAGATGACACACATATTCAACTGATAAGTGTTAAATGTTGGAAGCATCATGGACTCAAAGTAGTGTAAAGGGGCAGAGCTATCGATGGGTTACTTTATTTTGGATTTGTGAAAGCAAAACTCTCCTATAATAGTGATTAAACTGCTGCATGATGGAGAATAGTTACTCACGCCAGCTACTATTTAGTCATTTACAGGGAAATGGTTTGAATTTCTGGTTAGTAAAAGAAACGTTACAAGTTCCAATAAGGACGACACTAAATTCATATACTGTGCTTTTGTGCGAGTAAGTGTGCAAGTATATCGTGCATAAGTGTATAGTGTGCATTTGTGAGCAGCGTGATCAGCTGATGTGCTTACGGTGAGGTTTATCCTGTTTGCTGGGTTCTGCAGTTTTGTTGGTCTCCGCTGACAGCGGTGGTTTTGGCTGTGGTTTGCTGTGCGCTGCTGGTTTGTGCTGTTCTGGACGAGTGTTCTGGTCTCCAGGACAAGAGGTTTTCCCAACAGGACGTTGGATACGCTGTGGTCCCTGTGCAGCGCCGAGAACACGCGTGTGTGGGTTCGACACTGGCTTCTGCACGCTCTGGGTTACAGGAACTCTTTTGGGTCCAGCGGCAGAAACCTGCAGAAGATAAAAGCGGAACAGAGTCAATGATGCTCTTCAGGAGACCAGCGGAAATAATTAATGACTGTTATATTGATCAGGCTTTCCACTCTTTCAGAAACAGCACACTGCAAGGCTTTACTTGCCTACAGTTTTAGTCTGGTTTCTAGACCAAACATCTAAAAACTCTTAAATCAAGAAGCATTTTCTAGACAAGCACAAATTATAGTCTTGTTTTCAGAAATAAGGAGTCAAAATTGAGTTATTCCTAAAACAAGCTAAATAATCTGCCAATGGGGTAAGAAAAATAATCAGTTTGGCCTTTTCTTACTCTATTGTCAGATTATTTTGCTTGTTTTAAGGAAAAACTCACTTAATTTTAAATCATCATTTTTGAAAACAGGACTGTAATTTTTGCCTGCCAAGAAAATGCTTTTAGGATTAAGAATTTTTAGATATTTTGGACTAGAAACAAGACTAAAACAGATTCAAGGACCTTTTAATGCACCTTTATTTTCAAGGCAAGCCCCTTTGCAATTCCCACCACAGCATATGTAGAGCCATGAAAATCTTGAACATGTCACTTACACAGTATATTTACATTAAATGTCAGAGTATCAGTGTCCTAACACAAGAAGCGGTGTGGTGACACACAATAAAAGCCATCCTTTCCATGTTAAAAGGAGTTTGTCGTAACCATCGGTGATGGCGATATGCAAAATGTATAATATGCCATGTTGCCGTTTTCCTGCTTTTGCTTTCATGCTTTAATTTATATTTTGCACAGAGTATTGTTATATGAAGAGTTTGCTGTCTGTTCTTTGCTGTTTTGTGTTTGTAAAATCATAATAAAATAATAAATCAAAATGAGTAATAAGCATTGCTAAGCACTTAATTTAGACAACTTTAAATGCAATTTATTTAACGGTCATATTAAAGATATATCCAAATATTGCTGTTAGTAGGTAAACGATTACATTTTAAAATGCACCAGACAAAAGTTTGGATGAAGAAACTGCAGTTTCGTTAAATAACATTCTAATGTCTGTCTTCAGGAGATGATGACAAACTTATTGATTTTGTTTTTAAAAATATGAAATAAACAGAATATACATTAAAGAGTTAAACAAGTATGTAATATTTATAAATGAGCAATTCCAGCGTTATGGATGTGACATTTGCAGTAAAAACCTAAATTTGCAGAGAAGGTAAATGGTAACATTATATTGAAACATCGGTTTATATTTTACAGAACAACTAACCACAGAGATATGGGACCAGAAAAATATCAGTCTGTAAACATGTTTTGTACTTTAGATGGGGAAAATAAACATGCGTTACAGATGTGACCAAAAACAAGTATGTGAGTTTACAGTCTACAACATACTTTGTAATCCCTTGCTAACCAAAAGGATAATTAGAACAAAAATAATTGACTTCATTTTACTTGACATTTTTGCATTTATGAGGAAAAAGTGTCGTTATGGATGTGACTGATGTGAAATTGCCACTTGCGTCACTTTGGTAAATCAAATATAATGGTTTAAAAACATTGACAGAGACATTATTTATAAAGTACTGTAAAATACAAGCCTGCACAAAAAGAAACGTAGACACTTTCATATTTTGGTGAAAACTTTTTTTTTCATGGCAGGGTTGTCTTTTGCATGGAATTGCTCAAAGATATTATTATTTATAAAAAATAAATTCCATGCAAATGTCAACCTTGCCATAAAAAAATATATATATATAAAAATTCACCAAAATATCAAAACCGTTTTTGCGTTTTTTGTGTAAGCAAGCACCTAACAGTGCTTTAAAAAAAAACCAAAAAAAATGTCTGTTAATGTTTTCAGACTATTAAATTTGATTTACCAAAAATCGCACAAGTGCCAATTTCACATGTCACATGCAAAACGAAGCTTTTCCCTCATAAATGCAAAAAATAATAATAATAATCTATGGTTTTTGTTCTGTGGAGAGAAGTCTTATCATCTGATTAGCATTGTTCCTTTTGGGTTGTGCGGTTTAATTTACAGAATTTCTGCAAAGTATGTTGTAGGCTGTAAACTTGAGTACTTGTTTTGGTCACATACATAACACATGTTTATTTTCAGCCTTTAAAATATAAAATGTTTAGAGACTGACGTTTTTCTACTCCTATAACTCTGTGGTTAGTTGTTCTGTAAAATATAAACAGATGTTTTAATATAATGTTAACAAATACTTTCACTGTGAATTTCTGTTTTGAGATTTTACTGCAATTGTCACATCCATAACGCTCAAATATAAAGACTTGTACACTTTCAACCAGCACGATGAAAATATGATACGACAATTTATGATCACAAATGTTTTTGTTACTTTAATTTTAATAAATGAATCTGGTTTCAACCACAATATTCACTTATGATTCAACAACACAGATGAATGCAGAGGAACTATTTTAACAGTGAACGAACAGTCAGATACACATGATAAAACAACCAGCTTTTACCTTCTCATTTTCAGGTCGATGAATCTTCAGATCTCTGCTTGATTTGCTTCTTGCACCAGAGTCCATATCTTGAGTTAACATATTTAACGTTACATAGATTAAACACAATAAGCAAATAATGAAATGCAAGATAACGTTAAGCAAATTTGACTAAAATCCTAGTAAAAGACATTAAGGTCATAGGGTGATAATGTTAGACGCCCATTGCATTATTAATAAGTTGTTGTTTCCATCTGAACAGGTGAGTGTAGACTAAAACAAGCATCTTAGAGGAATTACTGAATGAATAATGAATCACATTGAGACGCGTTTCAGTGGTGAAGAGCGCTTCATTACCTCCGTCAGCCGTTTCCACACGACAAATCCTGCTCAAACCCACACAAACTCGACGATGTCTTGCTTTCAGTGCTATAAACGCTTTACCATCCGCTGGAGGAGCCGCGTGGGAGGTTTAATATCGAGAAAAATTATTAATAACTATATTTCCTTTTCTACAGATGGCGACGCGATCCTGCCCTGCAACTGCGACCTGTTTAATTTCAAATGTCCCACTTTTAAAATACCTTTAAATATACTGGGGTTTCTGATTGGTCGGATGGCAGTAAACCGCGATCCTATTGGTTGTTGGAGATGTGTCTGTGTGACGCTAGGAAACGGAAGTGACGCAGGGAAACGTCTGCTTTTGGGTGTAGTTTTTTTGCAGATGAGCAGCAGGTGGCGCACAGATCAAACACAGAGCTTCTAGAATGAAACACTGTAACAGTCCAGAGATGACAGAAGCCGCGCGTTTGATCATCGCGTCATCAGAGGAAACACACTTATTCTACAGCTGATTTCTTTTCTTTTCCTCATTTCTCCGTCAACATTTATCAGAGATGCCCACAGTTGGCCCATGGTGACCCAGCAGCTCATCAGAGAAGAGAGGGAGAATTTTGGGGAGGGTTGGGGTTAATACCTTTAAAACACATTGTTATTTCTAATTTAACGTGTAACTCTCATTTGTCTGTTTTATTTTAAGCTACAAAAAGCAAATTTGTTTCCCAGTACTGGGTTGCAGCTGGAAGGGAATACGCTACCTAAAACACACGCTGGGCGACCCCAGATTAATAAAGGGACTAAGCTGAAAAGAAAATGAATGAATGAAAACTAACTTTGATTAAATGTTTCAACTATATGTTGCAAATTATTAATATTTTTTAATATTTATAATTTTATTTCTCCACAGTGGTCAACTCAGCAGCTTTCATTCATTCATTTATTCATTTTCTTGTCGGCTTAGTCCCTTTATTAATCAAGGGTTGCCACAGCAGAATGAACCACCAACTTATCCAGCAAGTTTTTACGCAGCGGATGCCCTTCCAGCCGCAACCCATCTCTGGGAAACATCCACACACACACTCATACACACACTCATACACTACGAACAATTTAGCCTACCCAATTCACCTGTACCGCATGTGTTTGGACTGTGGGGGAAACCGGAGCACCCTGAGGAAACCCACGCCAACATGGGGAGAACATGCAAACTCCAAACAGAAACTCTAAATGAGCCGAGGTTCGAACCAGCGACCTTCTGGCTGTGAGGCGACCTTCTGGCAGCTATTTTACCTCTTCTTCAAGGTGTTTGTGTCTCCAAAGTCTAAGCTCAAACATCCATCAGATTATAGATTATAGCATTCAGAATGTTGGATTTTCAGCTCTGAACACGTTGCAGCTGTTTTTGTGGCCTGTGCCTTTAATGCTGGTTCTCCTCACGCAACGTTCCATGAGCACTACTGAACTTCCTCTCTTGCCTTAGGACAAATTTGGAAAAACAACATTGTAGAAACCTCAGCTATTGACTGTTTAAGTGTGTGTTGTCACTTTTAAGTCACTTTGGATGAAAGCAACTATTTAACATGTGCATGATTAAATCAATTGAATATTTATTGTTAACAATTGTCAAACCGTACCTGTTGTCCTTATTTCCATACCTCTAAAACACATTGTACATTTTTGAGTGTGCCTCACACAGGTGAGTGAGCTTGACAAACCACCTGTAGAGTACACACTCTTTCATCTCAGACACTCACACCAGTTTTGCACCAGATACGAGCTGTTTCTCAGTATGTGTTCTTCAGCGATCTTGTGTAACGTCATCATCAGCTGCCAAAGTTCAGTTCCAATAATCAAGACCGCAAGTACGGCGGATGCGTGAAACTTCCCGGATGTGATCTTGATATCGAGGACGCACCGATGCAGATTTGAGCACCGAATTTGCTCTGGAAGTCCCCGAAGTCATTGCGACTGGAATTGGGAAGCGCAGCATTTTATTTAGATTATTAAAGTTCTGAGATATCACTAGTTTACATCAGGACTCAGGAGTTTACCTAAATGAAACGGTGGAAGTAAACATCACCATGAGCATCTTAATAAAGGAATAAACACATTAAGGGTGTTTGTTTGCTGAAATTCGTATTCAAATTTGTTTTATTTATGTTGTGCAGGGTATATTTATAATGTTTTTATGCACAGAATTTATTTTGAAAAGGGGGAAAACAATAGATCGCTGTATGAATGCTGTGATGTTTAAATCGTATGCTATTTAAATGTGTAAAGGTCATGTGACCATCAGGAAGAATGCAGCATCTCATTTTTCACAGGATGCCCTCACGATCTCCTGAGTTCATTCTTCCGAGGACACCTGGCAAGACCGCTCTCCACAAGAACGCAAGTCCGTTCTCTGCATTCTTGGAATTGAGAAAGAGCCACTTTATAATCACTCCATATCTCTATATAAACACTGTGCATTTCTGAGCGTGCCTCACACAGGTGAGTGGGACTGACAAACCACCTGTAGTAACACTCTTCTCTCTATACGCATCACACACTTAAACTCCATCTTACAAAGACTCAATAAGGAAAGCAATGTTTACATGTCAATATACCACACAATCATGCTGCACTAGTTTTCCTCAATCTTAAATGCACAATATTGTTCAGTGTTGTGTAAAAGTACTTGTCTAGACTGCAGGTTATGTGTATAGTTAAGTATTTATAGTATAGTTAGATTACTGCAGCTATGAATAGGTTTATAATTATGTTTATGTAGCACTATGGTCATGACGTTTCGTCTTAGAATTACAACCTTCAGCCTTGACTTGATGTATTTTTAGTAGCATTAGTTTTATAAATATTCATTATTAAGTGAAAGCGATCGGCTGTCTATTGGATCTTATTGCTGTTGTGATGGCAAGCAGCTGCTTATTTTATTTATATATTTATAAAGCGCATTGAAGCTGAGATACAACCTGAAAGACGACAATCCAACACTCACCATCACAATCGTCAGCACTTTAATAGTTTATTTCACACACTTATAATATGCTGCTGTTCTATTGGGAGTTTTCATTCCAAACTGGCCGCCTCGCCATCTAGTGGCTGTTTCCCAAATAGCACTAGAGTGTCGCCTCTTGGTGATTCTATGCTCTTTAAATTTAATCGTCAAAACCATGAAAAGAAAACAAAGCTGTCATGATGTCATATGAACGTTAGTTTATTTCCACATGTGTAAACCGCTTTGGCTGTGTTCACTGCTGCTGGTTCAGTAACACACACATACACACACACACACCTCTAAAACAAACTGGACTTTCCCTTCAGATCTCTCCACCACGGTACATTCCTGCAAATAACTTAATACTAAACACAGCTGTAACAAACATTTACATTCAGTATAAATGAGGAGTTTAAATGCTCGTCTTGATATTGCAGAAGCCAACATTCAGAAGCTCAACTGAGAAGGAACAAAGAGATCAGTGCATGAGCGATAACACGTCCGCAAACGACACCATCGACACATTCCAGATGGCATATCGGTAGCGATTACAGACACTGATGTGCGTTTGCAGACGTGGGAATCACAAGGCCTGAAATAATAAACCTAGCAAATATAAATAAATAAATAGAATGTGTTTCCCCCTCCTCAAATCAAGCACAGCTGAACGCTGGAGTCCGAACACACTCTCTGGCCCTTCCCATCATCCCTCACATGATGATGATGATGATGTCACACTCTTCCCATCGTGCACCAGGAGCGTGCAGCAGCTTCTGAATAATCCAACACACACACACCGGTGGTCCTCCAAATCCAGTCTGGATGAGCTTGTTCCCTTCCTTGATGCTTTAATAAGTGTTATAGTAAGAATAGTAAGTTCTAGAACATGACTACGGATCTTCAAGTGTACAAGTGCTGGTGAACGATGCTAGCCAGCTGCGTTTCTGGTGTTTTGGCAGTCCGTCTATTGTCTCCGAGACCCTGTCCTGTTAAACTGGTTGATTAAAACTAGCGTTGAGCGTCTACTAGCGCTCTCCTCTTCATGGTAATGTTGTGCGTCGCAGCGGTGGATGTTCGGGCGTCCTGTCAGCCTCTAATGTAGACACTGCAGCTCTCGGACGCAGACGTTCAGCTTCCCCAATGGAAAGAAGAGAAGAAGAGAAAGAGGAGATCATTTATCGGCTACGGCTGCAGCCATCGGCGTCCGCAGGGTTCCTCTCGCCGTCATCGCTAACTCCTCGATCTCAGTGTTCAGACGCCGGATCACCCACTCCATCGCCTCTCGACCCTGAACAACAAACAATACAGAGGGAGAGAGAGAGAGAGGTTTAAATGCATTCCCATATCAGCTCCTCTACATATTTCATGGCAAAACCAGATCAAATTGTGTGGAATATTTAATAATAAACTAAATTAAAACAATAAAAATACATACAGCAATAAATAATAGACCAGATGAAATATATAAATAATAATAGAGAAGATAAAGGACAGCTACTGTTGTGACAAGCGCTACACAAATTAACTGAATGACAGCAGCAGAAGTGTTGGTGTGTCTGCTGACCTTTCCAGCATTGGTGGAGATGGTGGACGCCATCAGACCCTCCAGATAACTGCTCAGACTGACGCCCTTCACTGAGATGATGGCCTCCTGCGTGAGCATCGTCCTGCACAAACACACACACACATTCAGAACATCACACTAAACACACACAAGAGCAGAAGTGTGTGTGTGTGTAGGACAGAGGAATCTTACTTCTCTGGGTCCTCCGGGTGCGGCCGGTAGATGAGCCGCTCGTCCACAGAAACCATGTTTGTGAAGGTGATCTATGATGAGAAAAACAGAGGGAATTATGGGTATGACACACATGCAGAACATGCTGTTTACAACCAGCACCCTCCCAGAATGCAGCTCTATTATACTCAGACTGACTTGGTCTCATTCCAGACTATATATGTTGAAAGCCATCGCTCTGCTTTTGTCTTAAGGTCTTTTCAGGGTATATACGGGAATCCTAAAGGCAATTTTAATACCTTTTTAAGACTTTTTAAAGAGCTTCTCAGAATATCATCACCACTTCAAGTTCTAATCAGCATCAAACCTTTAACGAAGCTCGGAAGAAGCAAAGCTTAAAGGATAAATCATACGGTTGTTTTCGACAGGCTTCAGCCACTCTTTAAACTCGTCCTTCTCCAACCAGGAGAACGCAAACTTACACTTGACC